TCCCACTTTGCAGTCAAACTCTAAGGCATTTTCTCCTTGATGTTGTTCTCTTGCTGTTGTTGTTTTTGTTGGTTGTTTTGTTGTTTTTTCACTGTCCTTCTTGTGGTTGGCTCCTTTATTTTTACTTGATTTATTGGGGTGACATTAGTGAATACAATTGTGTCGGTTTTAGGTGCACCACTCTATAATACATCATCTGTATGTTGTATTATGTGTCCATCACCCCAAGTCAAGTCTCCTTCCATCACCATTTATTCCCCCTATTTTCACCCTCTTCAACTTCCTTTCCCTTTGGTAATCACAATACTGTGGTCTGTGCCTATGAGTTAAACACACACATACCCCCACACACAAACCCATAAACTCAGACAACAGTAAGGTTATTGCCTTTCTCTCCTGAGACTGTCTCATGACACTGAATCCAAATCTGGTGATTTAAAGCCAGCAAAGAAGGCCAGGGTTACGTAACACAGCATATTGCTGCTATGTTCCATGCCATTTTTTAATAAACCTTAAAACCTAGGTAAAAAAGCCCAACATATTGCCTTCCAATACAATTAAGAACTATTACATTTTTTTCTTTTACCCTGGAACACATTTACTTACATAATTGTACATTCGTTATTTTTAAAAGCTGAACTCCACTGAGGACAAGCCTTACCGAGCTTTCTAAGAAGCCATTAGGGTTTTGCTCTTGAGAAATTTTGTTTCAGAACAAATTTATGGGAAAAGTAATACCTTTAATAACACATCCTTTGGGGGCTTTTAACACTTTGTTAAAAGGAGAGCAACAATAGTCAAGAAAGGTGAGATATCAGTTAAGGAAGTCTTAAACTTGGTTCTATGACAAAACAAATCAATCCCATATAAGGAAAGGGGATCTTGGTAACAAGGACAGACATCCTGAACACTGTTGTTTGCATTCAGATCAATATAAGCTCCCCTGACTTCCACATTTTGCGAGAACATAGTCATCATCATAATTTTAAAAATCTGGAATCTTTTGTTTCCAAAGAAGCAGATGGCAGGCTGCCTTCTGCAGGGACAGCCCAGGGTTTGGAAGAGACTTCCTACCCTAAAGCTGGAAACTTGTGAGTTACCAGTCTTTGCCCACACCTGTCTGGGTTTCTGCAGCACATGTCCCCTTTGAAAGCAATGCCTGCCTTGATCTCTGGCTATATTTTGCCAGATCCATCCCCCTGGAGACTGAACTCTATTGTCCATATCAGGCCCCAGCTGCTGGGAGAGCTTCTGCCTCAGTCTGGGGGAGGGACCATGGCATTGCCACTCACTGAAAGACCTCTGCCAGGCTCCCGTGGCCCTCCCTGCCCACCAGACCAGATCTTTCTGACAGCAAAGCCGGGATCCAGTTCAAGTTGCCTGCACCTCTTGGGCATTGTTACTTGGGCTCTGCGTAGCCTCTAAAGGGCCAGTCTTTATAGCCAAGGTGAGACCTCCTCTCCCCAAGCCCCCCTTTCCTGGCTAAA